GCACAGACTGATCATTTCACTTCATAAGACCTCAATATATCATCAGGAGCCATGGGTATTAATTTTTTGGACTCTCAAGTGACGGTAGACATTGACCTGCATTGTAAGAATCACTAAGAACCATTTCACAACTAAATTAAAATTTTTGGGTGAACTGTCCCTTTGACTATTTTACAGCGCTACCAAAATCCAACTTTTTTTTTTTTTTTTTTTAAGAAAGGATTGTCCCCACAGGAACTTCTGCGCTTGTCGAGGATCAAATTAATAGACTTACCTGGAAAAACGAAACCTGCATCACTCACTCATTCGCACAATGATCTCCTGTAGATGAAAGAAAGAAAAGGAGAATTTATCGTTAAAACTCAGCAACATTAACTTTTAAATCGATAACACCCTACATTTATGATGTTGTTCACATAGGAATGTCAAAAATTATCTGATTTATTCTTTACTACTGATTGTTTACTTGAAGATGATGAAGCAGTTGGTTTATTTTTTAATATTTAAACTAATCGTAACACTTTAGTATAGGGACCAATTCTCCCCATTTACTAGTTGCTTATTAGCATGCTTATATTGGCTGTTTATTAGTACTTATAAAGCACATATTCTGCATGACCATATTCTACATCTCTAATCCTACCCAATGCCTAAACTTAACAACTACCTTACTAACTATTAATAAAATTAATGAGCAAAAGTCGTAGTTAATGGTTTGTTAATAGTGAGAATTGGACCTTAAAATAAAGTGTGACCAAACTAATATTTTGGGTAATAATTTTGTAGTATCAAAAATGATACTGAATAGTGAAATTTGATTGGTATTGGTATCAACAACTGATTTTTAGTATCGTGACAACCCTACTGTCATTCCATTCATAAATTAGCGCATTATAGGCCATAATTGTGTGCACAACCTCTAAATTGAGACAGAAAATGAGTCATTGCTTTCAGACTAACACATCAAGCAGAGATGTGAAGCTCATGCTGTCAATGTGATACATTCTGATTAGACTGGTATTAAATTCATGAAAACAAGCACTCTTTTTTAAAAAAACCTGCAAAGATTAGACAGAGCAATTTGGAAAATATATACAAGGGAATATCCTCGCTTTTACAACTCTACACATGATTCAGGCATACACAGCCACGTATCTAGACAAGAGCAACAGATACTAGACAGGCAACGTCCAAGTGTCTTTAATCATCCAGCAGATTGCCTGCGGATTAAGCTCTTAGTTGTGAGATGGTTTGATGTGAGGAGTGAAAATATAATCACAGCATCTGAAGCCAAGATCCAGAGGGTAGCATGTTGACCGCTAACCCGTGCTGTAATCTCAACGGTGTCTCACTAACTAAACCGTGATAATCCTCGTGCCAATCTGAAGGGTCAGATCCTGAAATAATCCAGCCTGTCTGCCACTCATCAAGCAAGAGCATCCGTGGTACTGCTGCTCTTCAGGCAGGCCGATCAGCTTCCAATTGCTTTGCAATGAACCCGTCATCCAAACATCAGCAGGCCATGCCCAATAATCCGCCAAGAGCTTTCGGTGGATCATCAAGAGCTGCTTACACGAGAATTTCAATAATTACACCACAATTCAAAAACTGAAATTGCAGTGACTTGTATAAAGAATCCTTTCATTTGGGAATAGCTCATCCAAAATATGAAAACTGTGTTATTTGCTCACCCTCATGTTGTACTCTTAAAGGGCTCAACAATAAGAGTTTTGTCTGCCGGCCCAGTGGGGTCAGTAGTTCAGATTTATGCTTACCTTGCCAACATCGTCACTGGCCCTAGCACAAAAAAAATATTATTCATTATATTTTTATAATGTATATTTTAAATTATCATTATATTTTGATAATTTTATGGTATGTGTCTGGAAATATTTATAATTAGTCATTAATATATTTATATTTACATGCTTTCATTCAACAAAGCTTCTCTTTACAAAAAAATACATATGAAAAATTATAGTAATAATAATGATTTAGCATTTTTTTGTTTGCAACTATAGTGTAACTCCCTAAAAGTCATGAATTTATACACAATAAGGTTCCCGATTTTGTTTTTCCCATCTACATAGCATCTATATATTCACTAGTGTCAGGATGTCCACAATTACAACCCTGTTTTCTAGGGCACAAGCCATGTAAACCAATCAACTTAATTGGCTGTCATGGTTAACTGTGTGATGCCGAATTTCAAACCATGTTTGATCCTTACCATGATATTTTTCCTACTCATTTGTGGTGCTTGCTAAACTATTAATATCATTCTTACATGGGGTTAGGGATTTGAACAAATGGCAAAAAAGGGGGCAAAAAAAGTAAATTTTGACTACTGCCAGTCATATGTTTGGGATTAGTAAGATTTTTTAATGTTTGGAAGAAAGTCTCAGTTCAGTAAAATTGTGAAATTATATTACAATTTAAAATAACTGATTTCTATTTAATACATTTTAAAATGCAATTTTTTTCTCTGATGGCAAATCTGAATTTTTAGCAGCCATTACTCCAGTCCTGAGTGTCACATGAGAAATAATTCTAATATGCTGATTTGGTGCTCATTAAACATTTCTCATTATCAAAATTGAAAACAGTCGTGCTGCTTAATATTTTTGTGAAAACGTGGTACAATTTCTTTTCAGAATTCTTTGAGCAACAGAATGTTCAAACGAACAGCATTTTTTAAAAATAAAAATCTTTTGTAACATTGTAATTTACATAATAAGCATAGTAAAAAATCGTACTAATCCCAAACGTTTTAATGGTAGTGTATATTGAAGGAGGAACTTGAGGCTGTAAGAAATAACCTAGCAACCGCTGAACAGCCGCAAAAAACACTCAGAACACCTTAGCAATCGTGCATCAATGCCTTGTCAACCACAAATAGCGTGATAGCATCATGTCAGCGATATTTCCCAAACAGTGTCTTCGTTCGTTTCAGTTTGTCATGCTGCCTTAGCTCATTTTGAGCTATGAATGGCTACATGTAAATCTGTGTCCCTCCCGCGATAATTCGGATGGAAATCCGCAGTTAGGTAATGCAAACAGCTGACCATTTCCATTCAAAGAAGTTACACTCACAGTCACATTCATCTCTGACTATTTAATCAAATCAGCCTCGCCACAGCGCCCATTCACAGGCCCGTTATTCTACTGCCAACCACATGAATTCTAGAAGCTCGTTGTCAAACAGAATTTGTTTAAAGGCTGAGTATGCACATGGTTGAGCATTTTTCAGGTGGAGGGCAAATCTGAAACGATTTGAGCCGTTTTTGGCTGAGCCCGCAGAAATCTTTCAGATGAGAGGGACAGATGGTCTCATCTCTGCTCTCCCGCTCCATACATTCATCGCCTGTCTCTATCTGTTCCCATCTCCCTTTCTGGAGTTGGCAGGAAAGCCGTAAACCCAAGAGAGCACATTGCTTCCTTCCTTCGCCGCCTGTCTGATTGCCTGCCAGATCCGTCATTCAGCCCAAAAGCTGTCACACCCTCACCTAACTAACACATCACGGAAAGCAAAACAGTGTTTTGGAAAAGTGCCAGGCTGTTGCATAATTTTACTTTTTGTTGAATCAATCAAGTATGCATATGCAAACTGCCCCGTCTACTTGTTTTAAAGGGGTCATATGATGCTTTTTTAAAGATCATTACTTATCTATGCACAATCAGCTTGTAACACTCCAAAGAGAAAGGAAAACTTGAAATCGCATCATATGACCCCTTTAAGACTGATGAGTCAAGCCTGGCTATTATCTTAGCGAGTTGCGAGGAAATGGCGCACCTCTAATAGATGACACCCATAATAGGGGTTTTCCTCTGAGATCTGACATAATTTATTTTTAAGTGCACAAATGGCCTGTCTCCAGCTCCACCAAGAGGCTTGTTCCTAAAGGACGAGCTTGCAGAAGTCACAAGTCTCACGTTCTCCAGGCAAATCAAAACACAGACTTGGGCGTGTGCAGAATATCTGCATCCTACAGGGAGAGTTACATTTCAGTTGCATTAGATTTCGCACCTCGGAGTGAAAGAGGATTTTCATAACATGAAAATGCACTACAGCAGAGGTTGCACGTTCCTCTCTTGCACAAACTGTTCCTGTTAACCGTTGCAACAGATCTGAGTCCAGATAACTTTTTAATGTTGATCTTTACACTTCTTAAAGGAACAGTTCACACAAATTTAAATGGTAATCATTAGAGCCCGACCGATATGGGTTTTTTGGGGGCCCGATGCCGATACCGATATTAGGGAGTAAAAAAGACAGATACCGATATATCGGCCAATATTCTTTATGTGTAGGCTATATTATAGTACAGTATAGTCAAACGGTGACTTTTGACTGGTACTGTATGTAGAATACAGTATATAGCCTACATAAACAGAATATATATACATAAACACATTTTTTGCAATGATAACTCAAATGTGGTGATCAAACACTTATAATGATGTGACAAACATAGGCCTATGTAATGGAGTCAGGGTATTTAACAATTTAACAATAAATTGTATTATTCAAAATGAGTCTGACATCAGTGCACTTAACAGTAAACTTCATTTCACTTATTATAAATAACTTAAATAACACAAATAGAACAAAAAAATATATAACTTGAATTAAGAAATTAAACAAGGTAACTGTGTAGGGCAAGCAAGCAACTGCCAAACCAACAGGGGCAGGTTTATGCAGGAAGCACAGCTTTTCCAAATGTAGACATCTAAAATGAATAAATAATAATAATTTATAATTTTTTTTTTTCACAAACTCGGTGTTGTGTATTTTCTGGTAATCAAATGAACAGAACATTCGTATTTAAAT